TGTGCTCATCTTCAAGCAAAGTTTGTCACTCCCAATCCGTGCACGGCAATAAAACGGGCAGAACACTTTGCTGGGTCAAATTTGAAGTTAAGTTTGAAGCTTTAAATTTAAGGGGTTTAGTTGCTTCAGGGAGGCGTAATATTATAAACTGTTTTTACATCATGAAAAAAATCCATCCGATTTAAGTGGTGAACTTTTAAGTGGCGTCTTTAAGTGAAATCTACATTTTTCCTTGGGCAATAAACTCTTTGGTCCTCTGCTTTATCCCTGTCACCTCTCCTTGTCACCCCCCACCCCCAATCAACCTTTCTTTTTTTGCCTAGATTTTTTATTGCCTTTTACCCAAGCCCCTCTTTGGAGGAGACGTTTGCTGTTGGAGAAGCGAGAGGAGCGAATGAAGCAACACGGTTGTATGAAACTCCTCTGACCCTTGAACACCGTGGAATTGGTTTCAGTCATCATTGTTTGATCTCCGATTGGACACGACCCTGAAAAGAAATTGCCTTGGCCAAAGTTGAGGGTGGGTGGGAGTTAAACCTTGAAAAGCAAATAGAACGGAAGACAAGTAACAGCTGGAACAGCCACCGAGGCAATCATCTTTGCCCTGGCTTTAGCCAAACAGTATAAAATGGTAAATATCCCAGGGAACAATAAATTGGAACTAGAATGGATTTCTGATGCTTATATTGATGCTCACCCCTCCAAACCCCTGCCCCACGGTAGCAGAAACTTTAAAATATATTTTACCATCCACACCCTGCCAGTATTCCAGCAATGCAAGCCAAGTTCAACAATTCAGCATGCAAATACCAAGGTTCCTCTAGAAAAAAGAGTCTGATCCTCAGATTAAAGGGAAATCATTTGTGTGTGTGGATCAATGGGCTCCAGATTATATATGAAGCCAAACTCTAATCCTCTGCAAATCGCAAGAGAACGCTACCTTTTTATATTGCTGCATAGTGATTAGTTTTCTCCCTGGGAAGTAGTGGACAGATAGTTTTTTAAAAGGACAACTGTTCGGAATATTTTCAGTACCAAATAACAATGGTGGCAGCAGAAATCTTATTTTAATTAGGCAACTGCCATTTTCCCAGCCACAGCAGTAGATATTTGTTACTTTTTGTAAGTGTTTAATGTTTGTTTTTAAGAAACTAAAAAAGCAATTCCAATAAGTCTGATTATTCCAGCACTGACAGCAGGAACAGCTCTGAGGCAGTTATAATAACCTTGCACACTACTTGAAACTAAAGAAGGTGAGAGAAAATTTAAATTGTACGGTAGGAAATTAGGTCAGCCTTGTGCTCAGTAGAGTAATGCTTTAATTTCTTATTATTGACAAGTAGATGTTGCCGGGGTCTTTTGTCATAGTCGATGATTTTATATTTTAATTTGCATCAGGGTCCTATCACAACCTCAAATAAAAGGGAAAAGGAGAGATTATCATGGTTTGTACAAAGAAGAAGAGGGGAAATCTTCATATAAATACTGCTCAGAGAGGCATATCTGATGCCAGGCTTTGGAACCAGCAGGGCCAAAATCAATAACATTTTTTAAAGATGTAAAGAGCGTTCTAAGGATTATTTATGAAGCTGATCTCTGTGTTAATGTCCATACAGACTTGTGATCCATGTTGAACATTATTGTTCTCAGAAAGGCCAAACAAAGATGTACCCGTTAACATGTGAACAGGTTTCAGGATTTCCTTTTTGGTTGTTCATGGTATATGGGGGAGAGCATTTCCGATTGGAGAGTGAAATGCAGAAAAGAGACAATTACCAAAAACAGGGCCACCCACCCTTCCACTCCCTCCTCCCTAGCACACCATGTTTTTCTGGATTGTCTGCATATTCCAGGTAAATGTGGACTCTTCTCGTGGAGTTATTGAGAATTCTCTGCTGTTTTTGAAGGCAGACACAGAGTAAGAAATGAAGCTGTAAAATCGGTATTGATCACAGACAAAAAAAATTGGTTTGTCCTTCAAGGTACAAGATAGATACGAGTTATGCAGATTTGTGCTATTTCATCCAGTCCATAGTCATAGTTCCTATCTATTTTGAAGGGTTAAATGTGTCCGAGGAGGGCACTGGATTCATCACAGGTAGAAAATACTCACACGCTGTGAAGTGAATATTTGGTTCATCATATAGTTACCAAAAAATCTGAAGTTTTTTTGGCTATGTTGCCAAGCATTTTTAGCATTAAATGATTAAAAGACTATTTTTCTCATGTTAAGGATTAGTCACACCCTTTATTTCTTCTTTCCACATGTGCTCACTTCTTTTGCTTAGAACTGGTTTGCAATTGAAGTGAAACTAAGACTGTAAAGGTGAAATCTAAATCTGTTTTTCTAGTTCTTTTGCATTGCTTAAAAATAAAAGGTTTGTGTGTTGAAGGTGAAGAAGGTTAGCTTCTGGAATTGTTTCAGGAGTTCATTTATCTTTGTTATTCAAGTCCCACAGAATCACAGATAATTGGGAGAATAGTACGTATCAAGGACTAGTATCTTAACTCACAAATGGGCAATGGAATTGGGGGCTTAGAATTTCTTCCTTCTTCCACTAAAGGAGATTTTCAGTTTTGCCGAGGACTGATGCATTAAAAAAATAATTTCTAAAGCCCTTTTCATAATTTTAACCTTCAAAATAAAGTCTTTAAAAAGGTAGGAATGTACGTATGCCAACAGTCATGAGATTTCTTTCGGAGCTGGGGAGCTACATGAAGCCCTCATTCATTCTATGTGGGATTCTCTTGTAAATTGTATGCACTGTTTCCCTTCCCTTTTAGAATTGTGTTTGGTACAAGTTTATTTCTTGACTATTCCTCTAATTTGAAGTCCATTCCAGATGGTGGCTTTTCATGGTGGTTCCCTGTCTCTGTCTGATCAGGCTTATCAGCTCAGCTAAATGTTTTTCTGCAGACCTATAGGAGATGCTACGGTCCTTACAAATATCCTGGAGATGGGACATTGTTGTTACACAGTGTGACTAGTAAGGGCCTGTGTGAGCCCTTGTACATGTGGGCACACGTGTGTGCTTCCTCTCTTCTCTCTTCCTTTCTCCCTGGTACTTATATCATGTCTGGATGACCTTTGGAAATAGAGGCGGCCTGAATGCAGGGTGGTCTCAATAGAAGGTAACCTTTCCTTGCTCTGCACTTACGTACGGAATTGGTATACACTCAGTTTCCGAGCTGAGAAATGCCTGAGAACAAGCAACACTTTTTCCATGAAGCTGCAAGCTGCAGCCTCCTTGTGCTGTGCATGTAAGGTACCAGTCCCGCCTACCCCTTCTCCAGATCATAAACTGGTTTGGACATGGGGTTTCCTAAAACCCCTTAAAGCATAGAGACCACATCTCTTGCTCTTCTTGCTCTTTAAGACTTGAATGTCACTCTGTTACATTCCCTCAACTGATAAGCCCTTGTTATAGTCCTCAAATGTGAATTGTCTCTGTGGAAAAGTCAAACAGAAACAAACGTATTTGGAAGACAGTGAAACAGCACTTCACAAGTGAACGTTTTCCTGCAAATTGTTTTCAGTAGCCCTCACTGTTCAATCAGTGACTGGTAAATATCACAGGGATGGTCTTTGAAGTTGTACAATTTGGGTGATTTCCATATGTCTTTAGGAGGTTTATGATTGTATTCCATTTCTCAAACCAATTTAAATGGTTCTTTTCTTGTTTTAAAACATAGGCGAGAACATGTAGTGTGTTGGTTTTGCTGTCTAGGAAGGGTCTGTCTTCGGCTTGATTGACTTAACTACAGTTGGATCCACATCTATATTGTAACCAGCTAATAACAGATTTGCTTTTAATAGATGACAATTTGAGGGGCACATGATACCAAAAGCGACCACATATTGAGCACCAAACGGTGCCAGTCACTTATCTATATCAACTAATCCTTTAATCCTCTAGTAGGGCGCAGAGCCCTAAAATTCAAAACATACGCTAAGGCCATTTGACATTGTTGCCTGTCCAGACTCCTCTTTCTGTGTGAGACCTCGGTACTTTCTGGTTCTCTTGAAATGCTCCAATTTAAGCGATTTCTTTTTCCTTCCCTCCCCTTCCCCCCAAAAGTTTATGAATAGGCTCTGCATATGAGTACCCAAATATCATTCAAAACTGCATTTGACTGTATCAAAGCCTGCCATGCAATCCCTGACAACTGGAAATACGATGCTGTGGTGATTTACGTAGATGGGCCAAAGTAAGGAAAAGTATATGTAGTTATTTCTCCAGGGTTTATTCATGTAATTGAATGAGGAACAAAGGTGTTTTGTGCTTTTTGTGGCAGGAGCTGATAGCCAGCAACCACACTTCAAGAAATGGAAGAGAGCTGTGAATGCTTCATTCAGGCCCAAGTAAATATAGGAAGAGGTGTAGTGGTGTATAGCGTACTGAGTTTAAAGAAAAAACACTCCAAAAGTAATGGGAAGAAGGAAGTTATGACATATTAGTCAGGCACTGGATATACCTTAAGCTGAAATGAAATACAGGTATCATGGATATGAGATCTGGATATGTAGAAGAAAGAGTAATGGGAGAAATGTCAGGGGCAGTGAAAGCAAATGAGAAGTGAGATGATTTATATTTATTGAACTAATGTCCGGTATCTCTTTGACAGAGTTGAGTAATAATCAGTTGTCAGTGTCCTTTATGTAGTGTTCCACGTTGGATGGGTGAAGAAATCCTGATAGTCAATTATTGATCACATAACAAGGTCAATTTATCATGACTGAAGCTCAATCGATTTGTGGGTGCAATGAAGAAACATTCTGGAACCGAATAATGTTTATATTGCTTTTCCCTTTGGAAGCAAAGCAGAAAGGGGCCTTTCTGCTTGTAAGATAAACATTTCTTCAATACACTACGGAAGTGCTTTGAAATAAAGATTCCGAATGGTTCAAAAGCAAATCTTCTTGTTGTTGTTGTGTTTTTCCTCTTTTCTCAACTACCCATTGTAAATTCTAAAGTCTTTCTTTATGTTTTGTGTTTTAGCCACGAGACTCAAACAACTTGCTGGGACCATCCCAAAATGACAGAGCTCTACCAGTCTTTAGGTAAGGACATGGCCATGTTTCCTCCAAGTTAAATGACAGGTGACTTTTAGGATAAAGTAGTTTGTAGTGTGAAAGTTACCTGCTATATAAATACATCACTAGATTGTTTCACGGGTGAAAGCAGTGGCACCTTCCTATCCAAAATGGACAATCAGCTTTCTTTTTTTTCAGGGGTTCCTTAAAAACAAGTTTTAGAAGTTGACTGCTAAAAATTCAATATACCTGAGAGGCCCTAAGGGTCTTTGTCGTTTTCTTTGGTGCCTAAAAGGATGGAAAAACAGTTACAATTTACGACTGTATTTTTTTTTTATTCCCACGAAGATAGAAAACTGTTTCAGGTGCTTATTGATTTCTTCCGTGTGAAACCAAGACAACCCTTTTGCCAAACCACAGATGTTGTGTAAAGGAATTTTCTGCCGCCTTTCCAGTGCTCACAATTCCTAAGGTCTGGCGGGTCATTAATGTGAACATTTAAATGATTTCTTTAGTATGGCTTGTTTTGTGCTTATGTAAGAGCCTGGCAGTTGTGTTTTCTTCCCCCTCATAACTTGAAATTTTTTGAATAGGTACATAGCGTACAAATAAGGGTTTGAAAACACAGTCTTTTTACACTGGACCAATGTCCAGATGTCTGGTTTGTCATTTTAGATCTACAAGGAATATTCTGAAATGAATTATCTTAAGTTGCAGCTTGTTTGGGGTTTTGTTTTGTTTTGGTATGGGGTCTTGCTCTATCTCCCAGGCTGGAGTGCGGTGGTGCAGTTATAGCTTATTGCAGCCTCGAACCCCTGGGCTCATGTGGTTCTTCTGCCTCAGCCTCCCGAGTAGCTGGGACTACAGGAATGCACCACCACACCCAGCTCATTTTTTAAATTTATTTTTATTTATTTTTGTAGAGATGGGTCTCACTATGTTGCCCAGGTTGTGTTTTTATATATATATTTGTATATATAAAAAGTCATGTCTTTTCTACTTTTTCAAGCCTGCATTTCTGTGAATGGATATGTTGATAGACAAACACATAAGGCGATCTCTTTGGATTTAAGGTTACGTGATAAACACTGTGGGAATCAGGGTACTTAAACATAAATTCTGTGTAGGTATACGTAAGTGGGGTGTGTGTGTCAGGGGGTATGTAGCTATTACTGATTTTGTGTCATGGATTCTCACAGAATGAATTGTAGCTATAGAGACACCAAGGATTAGAGAAGAGATATTAGCCAAAAAATGGTTTTATTAAACATCTTTCTAATTGTAAATGATTAAATTTCTTCTAGAAAACCTGAAAAATGTAAATAAAAAACATGAAAAAGGAAAAACAAAGTCACTTATACTAACCAGAGAGAGAGATCCAATACATTTTGAGTAATATTATGTCATTTCAGTCTAGTTATAAGTGTGTAAACGTTTAAAATTTTAAATCAAATTGGGATCAGCTAATTTTCTAGTGCTACATTTCCAGCCCCCACAGAATGTTTTTGGCTCATAATTGTGGACTGTTTATACCACAGGTGGAAAACGTGAATGCTTATCTTTTGGCAAATGAGAGAATGAAAAGGCTTCATCTGAAGTGGGCAGCAGCTGTCCTGGGCAAGCTGGTCTTTCTATCCCAGTACTCCCAGGACCCCAGGACCCCTGATTGTACAAGAGAAACTAGAAATGCGTCCACAAAAAGCTAATTTAAATTTGTCTGTGGGCCTCTTGATCATAACCTGTGGTTTACACAGATATAGCCCACTTCTAACATTTCCTACTCTAATTACAGTAATTTCTAGTTGTAATATTTTAATTCACTCTTATTTTAAAATCATTATTATTATAGAATTAATACCTATTCATATTTTTTTAAGTTTAAAAATATAGACAGGCTAACAAAAAAGAAGAGACAAATCATAACCCCACTTCTTAGAGTTAGCTGCTGTTTAATAATCTAATAGATATCTTCAAAAATGTCTTTCTATACATATATTTTTATAGAAGTTGAATCATTCTGTCTTATAGTTTTTTTTTTTTTTTTTTTTTCACTAACCTACTCTTGTTGGTTTTGAGATTAAACAATAGAGTGTATGCTTGGATTAGTGCTGTGCTTACTGTCCATAATCAACCTAATAATTAATTGCCATTTTCCTAACGCTTTCAATAAGAACAGTCTTTGTTGGGGGACATTCTACCAGTGCAGAGCCTAACCTTGCCTGCCAAGTCTGGATGCTAAGTTAGATTAAGAAAACCCAAATTCCAGAAAATCTTCCTTTCCTCTAACTCACAAAACAATAGATAGATTAAAGGAAGTCTTACTGCCCTTGACAGGACATGAATTTCATCACCTATTTTAAGGCTGAATTGGTGCCCCCCACCCAAAATTCATACATTGACGTCCTAAGACCTCCAATACATGAGAAATATGATATTATTTGAAATAGGGCCTTTAAAGAGGTAATTACATTAAAATGAAAACAAATAGAGTGGGACCTCTGATGTTGGGAAAACAGATATCCACACGCAGAAGAATGAACCTGAACCCATATCTCTCCACTATATACAAAAATTATATTCAAGATGGGTTATAAGAATTTAAATGTAAGACCTGAAACTATAAAAACCTAGAAGAAACACATAGGATAAATCTCTTCTGGACATCGGCCTCGGAAAAGAATTTACTGACTAAGAATTTTACAAACAAAGCAAATGCAACAAAAACAAAAAAAGACAAAGGGACAAAATGAACTAAAAAGCTTCTTTACCACAAAAGAAATAATCCAAACAGAGTAATACAGACCAAAACCTACAGAATGGGTGATAAATAATTTGCAAACTGTGCATCGACAATAGGACTAATAGCCAGATCTACAAGGAACTCAAAACCCAACTCAGCAAGGAAAAACAAATAATCCCATTAAAAAGTGAGCAAAGGGAAGGGTAGTGGGAGGGAGGGGAGAGGTGGGGATAGTTAATGGATAAGAAAAACGAATAGTTAGAAGAATGATATAGGCCAGGCCACAGTGACTCATGCTGTAATCCCTAGCCCCTTTGGGAGGCGAGGCCAGAGGGACATTGAGCTAGCCTAGGCAAGGCTTGTGAGCAGCCTGGGCAACATAGGTTGAGACCCCATCTTTTACAAAACATACCAAAAACTGAACGGGTGGTCTGGCTCCATGCCCTGTGACCCAGCTACTCAGGATGAGTGCTGAAGGTTGAAAGGATCACCAGAACCCAGGGGAGGTCAAGCGCAGTAAGCTGTGATCTAGCCCACTGGCACTCCAGCCTGGGGCAACAGAGTAAAGCCCTATCTCAAAACAAAAAAAAACAAAAAAAGAAATGAATAAGAACCAAGTACGTGATAGCACAACCAGGATGACTATAATCATAATAATTTAATTATATTATTTAAATTTAATTAAAGAGCTAATTGGGATTGTTCCTGACACAAAGGATAAATGTTTGAGGGGATGGACACCACATTCTCTTACGATGTGACTATTACACATTACATGCCGTACCAAAACATCTCATGTATTCCATAAATATATACACTTATGTACCATCAGATTAAAATTTAAAAAAAAAGATTAATGGACAAGGACAATGAAAGTTTTCCAAAAGGATATACTACCCGTTAACAAACCCAGATGAAAAAAATGCTCAAAATCACTAATGCATGAGGGCAAATGCAAGATTAACACCACAATGCTATATCATGCTCACACCAGTCAGAATGGCTATTATTCCAAAAGTCAAAATCAATAAATGTTGGCAAGGATGCAGAGAAAAGGAAATGCTTATACACTGTTGGGTGGAAATGTAATTAGCAAACCTCTATAGGAAAACAGTATTGGAGATTTGCTCAAAGAACGTAACAACCAGGAACTACAGACTACTTTAATCAGCAATCCCACTACTAGGTATCCAACCTAAGGAGAAGAAAATAATTAATGAAAAAGATACCCTGATCTTTTTCCCTAGTTCATGAGGCACGATGATGGGTGCTCATACATACACGAGACGTGTCACCCTCCAGAACCTTGTGGCGATGAATATTACCTGTCTGGAGCATGATGAAAATTTAAAAATTTTAAAAAATACAAGTTTAAAAAGATAGTCGGACTCATATGTTTTTAATGATAGCACCATTATAAAAGCAAAGATATGGATCAACCTAAGTGTCCTATTATGGAAAATGACTGGGATAAAGAAAGATGTGGGTGTGTGTGTGTGTGTGTGTGTCGTGTGTGTGTGGTGTAAGGTGTGTATACTGAAAACGATCACCACCAAAAAACGAATGCAACGATGGCTCTCTTTTTACGCAACAACGGGATGGACCTGAGGCACACGTTTCAACAGTGAAACAAAACTTTAGAAACAGAAGACGCAACATCACTACATGCTCTGTCACTCTTGTAAGCAGGACTACACAATACGGTCACATGGACTACATGAGTGGAATAACAAGACACTGGAGCTCCAAAAGTGGAAAGTGGGAGCAGGGGGCGTGAGGGAATGAGAAGTTACTTTAAAGGAGCGCGAGTTCAGGTGATGTTACACTAAAAACCCAGACTTCACACTCCACAGTATATCCATAGTAACAAAAATGCCACTTGTACCCTAAATCTGTTTTTTAAATAGGAAGGGGGAAAGAGGCGCGCAATATGACTGGGGCATCCTTAGAAGAAGGTCCTGCATGCACCAGGGGAAGAGACCATGTGAAAAGGCAGCAAGAGGCGAGCCATGCTGTAAATCAAAGGTGCCCCCCACACAGAAGGCGCAGGATAGAAGCCTCAGAGGAACCCAACCCTGCTGGCACCCTTGATCTACACAAGTTGTCCAACCCGCATGTGGCCCACTGTTGCATGTGGTCCAGGATGGCTTTGAATGTGCTCAACACAAAATTGATAAACCGGTTTCTTAAAACATTAGCACAACTTTTTTGAGATTTTTTTTTTTTTTAGATCATGCTAGCTATCATTAGTGTTTAGTGGGTATTTTAGGTGTGGCCCAAGACAATT